AATAGGGATGGGGATGGGAATGGGGACGGGAAAGGAGATCAGAAACTGGGAATGGGGGTGGGACAGGAACAGGGAATGGGAACAGGAATGGGGATGGGAATGGGCATGGAGATGGGGCTGGAGATGGGAATGGGAAAAGGAATGGGGGGCACAATTCAGGGTTTGGGGTGCATGGGGTGGGTTGGGGTGCATTTTGGAGTGTGGGGGGATGGGATGGAACAGGATGGGATGGGGTGGGATGGGATGGGATGGGATGAACCCCGCAGGGCCGTGCTGACCCCATCCCACCCCGTCCCAGACTGCGGGCAGGAGGATCCCTCTCAGCAGGAGCTGCGGGAGCAGCTGGAGGACGCCGTGCGCGTGGCCGAGCGCTTCACGCGCCGCTACGATTCCCTGCTCCGGGAATTCCAGGAGGAAATGCTCAACACCTCCGGCCTGCTGGACCAGCTGAACCGCCAGTTCGGCTGGGTGTCCCGCCTGGCCAACCACTCCATGGGCTCCGATGGCTTCCTGCAGGTCACCACGGTGAGGCCGGCGGGATGGGGCCGGGATCGGGGCCGGGAACGGGGATGGGAAGGTGGAAAGTGGGACAGGGCCACAAAGGGCTCTTTGTGCTCCGGCCGGGAATCTCTTGGCAGAGCCGGATGCTGCCGGGATGGGAGCCAAGGTCAGGGGCCCGCCTGGGGCTCTCCCGCGGCCGCTCCCACCTCACAAACCCAGATTCTCCCGCGGGATGACCCCGGTGCCCATTCCAGGTGCTGTCCAAGGCTCCGAACCCCGAGGACCCCTCGGTGCCCCCGGACACGCAGGTGACGGTGCAGCTCTTCGACTCGGAGCCGCTGGCGCTGACCGTGCCCGGGGACATCCCCTGGGACGACCCGCGGTTCATGGAGAACGTGGCCCAGCAGGCGCTGCAGCGCTTCAAGGAAAACGCCGTGTGAGTCCTGTGGGATATTCCCAAAAACCCCCCCCGAGGGATAACAGTGGGCTCATCCCGGATTTTCCTCCTTTCCAGAGAGTAGCCGCGCAATGCGGCCGCTGCCGCCCCTCCGGATCCCCCTTCCCGGGGGGAATTCTCAGCATCGCTGCCGCCTCTCCCCTCCTGACCCCTCCTGCTGCCAGGACCCTGCAGGGCCCCAAACGGAAAATAAAGGTAGAGTTGAACACCCTGGAACTGCCTACGGAGTTTTTGGGATCATCCTGTGGGAAAAAAGGAGGAAAAACAACCTCGGAATTTTCCATAATTTCGTCATTGCGGAATTGTGGAGTTGAGGAATGAGGATCCGGTCCCAAATCTGATCCAGCAGGAGCTGCCCAGGATTGGGGACCTGTCCCCATCCTGTGGGACACAAATCCCAGTGCCAGGGCCTGTCACCATCCCGTGGGACACAAATCCCAGTGCCAGGGCCTGTCCCCATCCTGTGGGACACAAATCCCAGTGCCAGCGCCTGTCCCCGTCCCATGGACACGGATCCCAGTGTCAGGGCATGTCCCCATCCCATGGACACGGATCCCAGTGCCAGGGCCTGTCCCAGCTCATGGACACAGATCCCAGTGCCAGGGCCTGTCCCCATCCCATGGACACAGATCCCAGTGCCAGGGCCTGTCCCCATCCCATGGACATGGATCCCAGTGCCAGGGCCTGTCCCCATCCCATGGACACAGATCCCAGTGCCAGGGCCTGTCCCCATCCCATGGACACAGATCCCAGTGCCAGGGCCTGTCCCCATCCCATGGACATGGATCCCAGTGCCAGGGCCTGTCCCCATCCCATGGACACGGATCCCAGTGCCAGGGCCTGTCCCAGCTCATGGACACAGATCCCAGTGCCAGGGCCTGTCCCCATCCCATGGACACGGATCCCAGTGCCAGGGCCTGTCCCCATCCCATGGACACGGATCCCAGTGCCAGGGCCTGTCCCCATCCCATGGCCATGGACACGGATCTCAGTGCCAGGGCCTGTCCCCATCCCATGGACATGGATCCCAGTGCCAGGGCCTGTCCCAGCTCATGGACACAGATCCCAGTGCCAGGGCCTGTCCCCATCCCATGGCCATGGACACAGATCCCAGTACCAGGGCCTGTCCCCATCCCAGCTCATGGACACAGATCCCTGTGCCAGGGCCTGTCCCCATCCCATGGAAACAGATCCCAGTGCCAGGGCCTGTCCCCATCCCATGGACACAGATCCCTGTGCCAGGGCCTGTCCCAGTTCATGGACACAGATTCCAGTGCCAGGGCCTGTCCCCATCCCATGGACACAGATCCCAGTGCCAGGGCCTGTCCCCATCCCATGGACACGGATCCCAGTGCCAGGGCCTGTCCCCATCCCATGGACACAGATCCCAGTGCCAGGGCCTGTCCCCATCCCATGGACACGGATCCCAGTGCCAGGGCCTGTCCCCATCCCATGGACACGGATCCCAGTGCCAGGGCCTGTCCCAGCTCATGGACACAGATCCCTGTGCCAGGGCCTGTCCCCATCCCATGGACACGGATCTCAGTGCCAGGGCCTGTCCCCATCCCATGGACACAGATCCCAGTGCCAGGGCCTGTCCCAGTTCATGGACACGGATCCCAGTGCCAGGGCCTGTCCCCATCCCATGGACACGGATCTCAGTGCCAGGGCCTGTCCCCATCCCATGGACACGGATCCCAGTGCCAGGGCCTGTCCCAGTTCATGGACACGGATCCCAGTGCCAGGGCCTGTCCCCATCCCATGGACATGGATCTCAGTGCCAGGGCCTGTCCCCATCCCATGGACATGGATCCCTGTGCCAGGGCCTGTCCCCATCCCATGGACACGGATCTCAGTGCCAGGGCCTGTCCCCATCCCATGGACACGGATCCCAGTGCCAGGGCCTGTCCCCATTTCATGGACACGGATCCCAGTGCCAGCGCCTGTCCCCATCCCATGGACATGGATCCCAGTGCCAGGGCCTGTCCCCATCCCATGGACACGGATCCCAGTGCCAGGGCCTGTCCCCATCCCATGGACACGGATCCCAGTGCCAGGGCCTGTCCCCATCCCATGGGACACCCGGGATCAGCCGGATCCCACTGCGATGGGATCACCTGCCCCTCATGAACAAGGGAAGAGCTTCCCTGCCAAGGAACTGCCAGGTCCTGATGCCCCTGGAAGAGATCCTGGGGGATAAATCCTGCTGGGACACCCTTGGGGACAGCTCCTGTCCTCTGCCATCCGTGAGAATTCCTAAATTTCCGCAGGATCCCCACCAGAAAACCCCATGGAATGGGCAGAGTGGCTTTATTGGGAACACGGGTTGGGGAAGGGGTGGATCCAGCCCCAAACCCATCCTCATCCCAACTCCCTGGGAATGGGGCAGAAGCTCCAGGAGAGCTGGCTGTGGCCCCAAACCCATCCTGATCCCAGTCCAGCCCCAGTCCCATCCCAATCCCCTGGGAATGGGGCAGAGGCTCCATCAGAGCCATCTCTGGGTCCGTATCCCACCAGGAAGAGCCGGCACAGCCTCTCCACCCCTGACATTCCCTGTGGGGACAATTCTCAATCCCCGGGAGCATTCCCGAGGGCCAGTCCTGCTGGGACACCCTGGGGAACAGTCCCTGTCCTTTGCCATCCCTGAGAATCTCCAGATTTCTGTCGGTTTCCCGTGGAGATCCCCACGGAATGCGCAGAGGGGCTTTATTGGGAACATGGGTTGGGGAATGGGTGGCTCCAGCCCCAAACCCACCTGAATCCCAATCCAAATCCAGCCCCAAACTCATCCCAATCCCAATCCAGTCCCAATCCCATCCCAGTCCCCTACGAATGGGGCAGAAGCTCCAGGAGAGCCGGCTCTGGGTCCGTATCCCACTGGGAAGAGCCGGCACAGCCTCTCCACCCCTGGCTGACATTCCCTGTGGGGACAATTCCCAATCCCAATCCCCGTGAACATTCCTGAGGGCAATTCCTGCTGGGACACCCTGGGGAACAGTCCCTGTCCTCTGCCATCCCTGAGAATTCCCCAATTTCTGCAGGGTCCCCATGGAGATCCCCACGGAATGGGCAGAGGGGCTTTATTGGGAACATGGGCTGGGAAGGGAGTGGATCCAGCCCATATCCCACCCCAATCCCAAACCCAGTCTCAATCCCAATCCTATCCCAATCCCAATCCCCTGGGAATGGGGCAGAAGCTCCAGGAGAGCTGGCTTTGGGTCCCGTATCCCACCGGGAAGAGCCGGCACAGCCTCTCCGCCCCCAGCTGACATTCCCGGCAGGGACAATTCCCAATCCCAATCCCAACCCCAATCCAGTCCTAATTCCACCCCAATCCCTTGGGAATGGGGCAGAATCTCCAGGGGAGCCAACTCTGGGGCCATATCCCACCAGGAAGAGCCAGCACAGCTGACATTCCCTGCAGGGACAATTCCCAATCCCAACACCTGGGAACATTCCCAGAGACAATTCCTGCTGGGACACCCTGGGGGACAGTCCCTATTCTCTCTCTGAGAGATCCCAAAGAGAATTCCCTGAGAATTCCCAAATTTCTGCAGGATCTCCCCTGGAGATCCTTATGGAATGGGCAGAGGGGCTTTATTGGGAACATGGGTTGGGGAGGGAGTGGATCCAGCCCCAGCCCCCATCCCACCCCAATCCCATTCCAAATCCCAGTCCAGTCCCAATTCCACCCCAATCCCTTGGGAATGGGCAGAAGCTCCAGCAGAGCTGGCTCTGGGTCCGTAGCCCACCTCTCCACCCCAGCTGACATTCCCTGTGGGGACAATTCCCAATCCCCAGCACACTGAACCCAAGGAACATTCCCAAAAATCCTGCTGGGACACCCTGGAGGACAGTCCCTGTCTTCTATCCCTGAGAATTCCCAAATTTCTGCAGGATTCTCCTGGAAGTCCTCATGGAATGAGCCATGGGCAGAGGGGCTTTATTGGGAACATGGGCTGGGAAGGGAGTGGGTGCAGCCCCAAACCCATCCCAATCCAGCCCCAAACCCATCCTGATCCCAATCCAGTCCCAATCCCCTGGGAATGGGACAGAGGCTCCATGAGAGCCGTCTCAGGGTCTGTATCCCAACGGGAAGAGCCGGCACAGCCTCTCCACCCCTGGCTGACGTTCCCTGCGCGAACAATTCCCAATCCCAATCCTTGGGAATATTCCCAAAGGCAAATCCTGCTGGGACAGTCTCTGTCCTTTGCCACCCCTGAGAATTCCTAAATTTCCACAGGATCCCCACCAGAGATCCCCACGGAATGGGCAGAGGGGCTTTATTGGGAACCTGGGTTGGGAAGGGAGTGGATCCAGCCCCAAACCCACATGAATCCCAATCCCAATCCAGCTCCAAACTCATCCCGATCCAAATCCAGTCCCAATCCCCTGGGAATGGGGCAGAAGCTCTGGGAGCACCAGCTCTGGGTCTGTATCCCACTGGGAAGAGTCAGCACAGCCTCTCTGCCCCTGGCTGACATTCCCTGCAGGGACAATTCCCAATCCCAATCCAAATCCCAATCCCAATCCAGTCCTAATTCCACCCCAATCCCTTGGGAATGGGGTAGAAGCTCCAGGAGCGCCAACTCTGGTTCCGTATCCCACTGGGAAGAGCCGGCACAACCGACATTTCCTGCAGGGCCAATTCCCAGTCCCAACCCCTGGGAACGTTCCCAGAGACAATTCCTGCTGGGACAGCCTGGGGGACAGTCCCTGTCCTCTGCCACCCCTGAGAATTCCCAAATTTCTGCAGGATCCCCACCAGAGATCCCCATGGAATGGGCAGAGTGGCTTTATTGGGAACATGGGCTGGGAAATGGGTGGCTCCAGCCCCAAACCACTCCAATTCCAGCCTCAAACCCAATCTCAATCCCAATCCCATCCCAATCCCAATCCCCTGGGAATGGGGCAGAGGCTCCATGAGAGCCGTCTCAGGGTCTGTATCCCACTGGGAAGAGCCGGCACAGCCTCTTCACCCCTGGCTGACATTCCCTGCAGGGACAATTCCCAATCCCATTCCCAATCCCAATCCAAACCCCAATTCCAATCCCAATCCAGTCCTAATCCCACCCCAATCCCTACAAATGGAGTAGAGGCTCCAGGAGAGCCAAATCTGGTTCCATATCCCACCAGGAAGAGCCGGCACAGCCGACATTCCCTGCAGGGCCAATTCCCAATCCCAATCCCCGGGATGCCAATCCCAAGGAACACCCGCTCATCCCTGGATGTTGCCGCCATCTCCATCCCCTCCCAGCAGCGCTTCCCTCTCCTGTGGGTCACTCCCGGCATTCCCGGTATCCCGGGCGCCCCGCAGCGCGCGGTGCAGGCCGTTGTAGAGCGCGGCCCCGGCCAGGAGCAGGGCGAATCCCGGGATCTGGAGGGCGTGGAAGCGCTCCCAGCGCAGCGCCAGGCTGAGCGCCCAGACCAGCAGCGTGCGCAGGCTGTCCAGCACCGTGCGCGTGGTCGCGCTCAGCTCCCGCGTCACGCTGATCCCCGCGAAGTTGAAGAAGGAGATGCTCCCGATGTTGCCCAGCAGCGCCGCCAGGATCAGGGGCTCCCGGCGGATCTGGCACCAGGCGTCCGCGGGATCCTCCAGGACGCCGCGGGGGTTCCCCGAGAGCCGCCCCGCCGGGATGAAGGACAGCGGCACCAGCAGCAGCGCCAGGATGGAGAAGCCGAAAAGACCTGCGGGGAATCGGGATTTCCGTGGAATTGCCCGGGGAATGCGGCACAGGCTCTGGGAGAGCCGGCTGTGGCCCCAGTCCCAATCCCAATCCAGCCCCAAATCCATCCCAATCCCCTGGGAATGGGGCAGACACTCCGGGAGAGCCGGCTGTGGCCCCAATCCCAATCCCAATCCCAATCCAGCCCCAATCCCATCCCAATCCCCTGGGAATGGGGCAGAAGATCCAGGAGAGCCGGCTGTGGCCCCAATCCCAATCCCAATCCCAATCCAGCCCCAAATTCATCCCAATCCCCTGAGAATGGGGCAGACACTCCGGGAGAGCTGGCTGTGACCCCAGTCCCAATTCCAATTCCAATCCCTACCCAAATCACAATCCCCATCCCAATCCAGCCCCAATCCCCTGGGAATGGGGCAGAGGCTCCAGGAAAGCTGGCTGTGGCCCCAATCCCAATCCCAATCCCAATCCTAATTCCAATCCAGCCCCAATCCCATCCCAGTCCCCTGAGAATGGGGCAGAGGCTCAAGGAGAGCTGGCTGTGGCCGCAATCCCAATCCCAATCCAAATCCCAATCCCAATCCCAATCCCAATCCCAAGACAGCCCCAACCCCCTGGGAATGGGCACAGGCTCCAGGAGAAACACCTGTGGCCTCAGTCCCAATCCCAATCCCAATCCAGCCCCAATCCCATCCAAATCCACTGGGAATGGGGCAGAGGCTCCAGGAGAGCCAGCTGTGGCCCCAGTCCCAATCCCAATTCCAATCCCAATCCCAATCCCAATCCCAATCCCAATCCTAATCCCAATCCAGCCCCAATCCCATCCCAGTCCCCCTGAGAATGGGGCAGAGGCTCCAGGAGAGCCGGCTGTGGCCCCAGTCCCAATCCCAATCCCAATCCCAATCCCAATCCCAATCCCAATCCCAATCCAGTCCCAATCTCATCCCAATCCCCTGGGAATGGGGCAGAGGCTCTGGGAGCACCAGCTCTGGGCCCCAATTCCAATCTGAGAATTCCCAGATTTCTGCAGGAGATCCCCATGGGATGAGCCATGGTATTTTCATGGGATTCCCACTGTTGGGGATTCCCAGGATTTCTGGGATTTAAGGGAATCGCGGACCTTCGGTGCCCACGGCGCGCAGCGGGGTGCACGTCGTGGCTGAAGATGAATTTCTCCTCCAGCACCATCTGGATGGACACGATGGCCTGGGCCAGCAGGATCAGGAGGTCACCTGGGAAAACAGGGAAAACCAGGATAACAACAGGAAAACCGGGATAGCAACAGGGAAAATTGGGAAAAGAACAGGGAAAACAGGAATAGCAACAGGGAAAAGAACAGAGAAAACAAGGAAAACAACAGGGATAACAACAGGAAAAACCGGGATAACAACAGGGAAAATCAGGAAAACAACAGGGAAAACAGGGAAAAGAACAGAGATAACAACAGGAAAAACCGGGATAACAACAGGGAAAATCAGGAAAACAACAGGGAAAAGAACAGAGATAACAACAAGAAAAACTGGGATAACAACAGGGAAAAGAACCGGGAAAAGAAAAACCAGGGATAACAACAGGGAAAATAACAGGGATAATAACAGGAAAAATTGGGATAACAACAGGGACAACAGGGAAAACAACAGGGAAAATCGGGATAAAACAGGGAAAAGGGAAAACAGGGATAACAACAGGGAAAACAAGGAAAACGACAAGGAAAAAAAAGGGAAAAAAGTGGGGAAAACTGGGATAACAGGGAAAAGAACAGGGATAAGAACAGGGATAACAACAGGGAAAATCGGGAAAACAACAGGGAAAAACCAGGGAAAAAACCAGGGAAAACAGAGATAACAATGGAGGTAACAACAGGAAAAACTGGGATAACAGGGAAAAGAACAGGGAAAAGAAAAGGGAAAACAGGGAAAACAACAAGGAAAATCGGGATAACAACAGGGAAAACAACAGAGAAAATTGGGATAATAAGAGGGAAAACAAGAGGGAAAATTGGGATAACAAAAGGGAAAACCCGGACAGCAACAGGGAAAATGGGGAAAACAACAGGGGAAAACAGGGAAAAGAACAGAGAAAACCAGGATAACAACAGGGCAAACAACAGGGATAACAACAGGGCAAACAACAGGGAAAAGAGGAATAACAACAGGGAAAACAACAGGGAAAAGAGGGAAAAGGAAGAGAGGAGGAAAATGGGGAAAAGTGAGCCCCCCCCATTCCAAGGAGTGAATTCCCCCCATTCCAAGGAGTGAATTCCCCCCATTCCAAGAAGTTTTCCCCCCATTCCAAGGAGTGATGAGTCCAGGGGCCAGCTAGAAATGTAATTAGGCTAATTGAAAAGTGCAGATGGGTCGAGGAGCTGGCTGGAACTATAATTAAGACAGTAAAAGACTGAATATTTTAGTTAAGGTTTTAAATAAATTAAGGAGTTAAGTTAGAAATGTCGCTAGCAGGGATCATGTACTCTGGTTAAAGAGTAACAAAAATATCAGGGAAAAGTAAAATTCCGAGCGACGGGGGATGGATGGAGCATGGTGAAAGGGCAGGAGCCATAAAAAACCCGGCCTTAAGGACATATCCAAGAGTTAGGACAGGCTTAGACTGTGACCAGCAGGCCAAAAGGTCCGACTGGCCGTGGGTGAAGAGTTCAGTGAGGAAGATGATTTTCTTCCTCCTGTACGCCCATCCCTCATTTCAAAACCCACCGACCCCAATTAAGGGAGAACAATTACGCAGCCGTAATGAATATTCAGCTGATTATAATACAGGTAATGAATATGCATTATGTGCCCTTAAAAACCGTGTGAATATGTAAAACCTTTCTGGATAAATAGCAGGGAGTCTGTGACTTCCCAAATGGTGTGGGAAAATATTCCAATATTCTGCTCGTGCCCGTGACGTAATAAACACCCTTCATTCCCTCCTTTCCAACTTTAATTAGTTTGTCTGTGCTTCAGTGATCCCCCCATTCCAGGGAATGATCCCCCAATTCCAAGGAGTGATCCCACTAATCCAAGGAGTGACCCCACCAATCCACGGAGAGATCTCCCCATCCCAAGGAGAGATCCCCCCATTCCAAGAGGTTTTCCCGCCATCCCATGGAGTGATCCCATCATTCCAGGGAGTGATCTCCCCAATTCCAAGGAGTGATTCCCCAATTCCAAGGAGTGATCCCCTCATTCCAACGAGTGACCTCCCCAATTCCATGGCGTGATTACTCCATTTCAAGGAGTGATCCCACCATCCCAAGAGGCTTTCCCACCATCCCAAGGAGTGACCCCGCCATTCCAAGAAGTTTTCCTGTGATCCCAAGGAGTGATCCCGCCATCCCAAGAAGGGATCCCACCATTCAAGGAGTGATCCCACCATTCAAAGGGTGATCCCACCATTCCAAGTTTCCTTGCCATCCCAAGGAGTGATCCCGCCATCCCATGGAGTGGACCTGCCATTCCAAGGACCTTTCCTACCATCCCAAGGAGTGACCCTGCCATTCCAAGGAATGATCCCACCATTCCAAGAGGTTTTCCACCATCCCATGGAGTGACCCTGCCATTCCAAGGAATGATCCCACCATTCCAAGAGGTTTTCCCACCATCCCATGGAGTGACCCTGCCGTTCCAAGGAGTTTTCCTGCCATTCCATGGAGTGATCCCCCGATCCCACGAAGTTTCCCCCCCAATTCCATGGAGTGATCCCCCCATCCCAAGGGGTTATCCCCCCATTCCAAGAAGTTTTCCCGCCATTCCATGGAGTGACCCTGACATTCTCCAAAGACTTTTCCCACCATCCCAAGGAGTGACCCCGCCATTCCAAGAAGTTTTCTTGCGATCCCAAGGAGTGATCCCGCCATCCCAAGAAGGGATCCCACCATTCCAAGGAGGGATCCCCACCATTCAAAGGGTGATCCCAACCATTCCAAGTTTCCCTGCCATCCCAAGGAGTGATCCCGCCATCCCATGGAGTGGACCTGCCATTCCAAGGACCTTTCCTACCATCCCAAGGAGTGACCCTGCCATTCCAAGGAATGATCCCACCATTCCAAGAGGTTTTCCCACCATCCATGGAGTGACCTGCCGTTCCAAGGAGTTTTCCTGCCATTCCATGGAGTGATCCCCCGATCCCACGAAGTTTCCCCCCCAATTCCATGGAGTGATCCCCCCATCCCAAGGGGTTATCCCCCCCATTCCAAGAAGTTTTCCCGCCATTCCATGGAGTGACCCTGACATTCTCCAAAGACTTTTCCCACCATCCCAAGGAGTGACCCCGCCATTCCAAGAAGTTTTCTTGCGATCCCAAGGAGTGATCCCGCCATCCCAAGGAGTCATCCCACCATTCAAAGGGTGATCCCACCATTCCAAGTTTTCCTGCCATCCCAAGGAGTGATCTCACCATCCCGTGGAGTGACCCTGCCATTCCAAGGGCCTTTCCTACCATTCCATAGAGTGACCCCGCCATCCTATGGAATAATCCCACCATCCCAAGGAGTGACGTCACCATCCATAGAGTGACCCTGCTATCCCAAGGCTGTCCCACTGCCCCGGCATTCCTGGGATACCCGTGATGCCAGCCCGTGTCCCACTACCCCGGCATTCCCAGGACACCCGCAATGCCATCCTGTGTCCCACTGCCCTGGCATTCCCGCGATGCCAGCCCGTGTCCCAGTGCCTCGGCATTCCTGGGATACCCGTGATGCCAGCCCGTGTCCCACTGCCCCGGCATTCCCAGGACACACGCAATGCCCCGGGATGCCCCGGCATTCCTGGGATACCCGTGATGATGCCAGCCCATGTCCCACTGCCCCGGCATTCCCAGGATATCCCTGATGCCAGCCCGTGTCCCGCTGCCCCAGCATTCCTGGGATTCCCGCGATGCCCCGGGATGCCCCAGCATTCCCAGGATAGCTGCGATGCCAGCCCATGTCCCACCGCCCCAGCATTCCCAAGATTCCTGTGATGCCAGCCTGTGTCCCACTGCCCCGGCATTCCCGGGATAGATGCAATGCCCTGGGATGCCCTGGCATTCCCGCGATTCCAGCCCATGTCCCACTGCCCCAGCATTCCCGGGATACCCTTGATGCCCTGAGATGCCCTGGCATTCCCAGGACACCCACAATGCCGTGGGATGCCCAGGCATTCCTGGGATACCGGTGATGCCAGCGCATGTCCCACCACCCCAGCATTCCTGGGATACCCTCGGTCCCCCGCGATGCCCTGGCATTCCTGGGATACCCGTGATGATGCCAGCTTGTTTCCCACTGCCCCAGGATACCCCTGATGCCATCCTGTGTTCCCACTGCCCCAGCATTCCCAGGATACCCGTGATGAGATCGGCCAGCCCGCGTCCCACTGCCCTGGCATTCCTGGGATACCCGTGATGCCATGGGATGCCCTGGCATTCCTGGGATACCCATGATGCCATGGGATGCCCTGGCATTCCTGGCATTCCCGTGATGCCAGCCCGTGTCCCACCGCCCCGGCATTCCCGGGATTCCCGTGATGCCCCGGCATTCCTGGGATACCGTTGATGGTGTCAGTCCATGTCCCACTGTCCCGGCATTCCCGGGATACCCGCGATGCCCTGAGATGCCCTGGCATTCCTGGGATACCCATGATGAGGTCAGCCAGCCCATGTCCCCACTGCCCCGGCATTCCCGCGATGCCCCGGCATTCCCGGGATACCGGTGATGACGTCGGCCAGCCCGCGCCCGGTGCCGCCGGGGTTCCCGCGCAGATCCGCCAACCCCACCAGCGCCAGCCCCAGGATGGTGAGCAGGATTCCCGCCCAGTGGCTCCACTCCAGCCGCCGGCCCAGGAACGCCACCGAGAGCAGCCCCGTGAAGATGATGAGGGAGCCCCGGGAGCATCTGGAAGCTGGAGGGCGCTGGTCATGTTCAAAGCTGCGGGAAAAAACGGCGGGAAAAGCGCTCAGGGCCCGACGGAAACTTCCAGAAACTTCCAGAAATTCCCTGAAAATTGGGCAATTCCAGGGGATTGCGTGGCGGACTCACCCACGTACATGATGCTGGTGCCGGCCATGTCGCACAGGGCGGGAGGCAGGAACAGCAGGGCGTTGAGGGTCGGGATGGGGCCGGGGCCGGGGCTGGATCCCGATCCCGATCCCGATCCCGATCCCGATGCGCGCGGCGCCGATCCCGCAGGCGCAGCAGGTAGAACACCGGGAGGCAGGAGAATTCCCCCAGGAACATCCCGGCGGCCTGGGGGACATGGGGAATAATGGCGTTCAAGTGTAGGATTTGGGGTTGGAAATGAGGAATAATGGGGTTCATGTGTAGATTGGGGTTGGAAATGGGATATACTGGCGTTCAAGTGTAGGATTTGGGGTGGAAATGGGAATAATGGTGTTCAGTGTAGGATTTGGGGTTGGAAATGGGAATAATGGCGTTCAAGTGTAGGATTTGGGGTTGGAAATGGGAATAATGGTGTTCAGGTGTAGGATTTGGGGTTGGAAATGGGAATACTGGCGTTCAAGTGTAGGATTTGGGGTTGAAATGGGAATAATGGGGTTCATGTGTAGGATTTGGGGTTGGAAATGGGAATAATGGGGTTTCGTGTGTAGGATTTGGGGTTGGAATGGAATAATGGGGTCATGTGTAGGATTTGGGGTTGGAAATGGGAATAATGGGGTTCATGTGTAGGATTTGGGGGTGGAAATGGGAAATAATGGGGTTCATGTGTAGGAAGAGGGCTGGAAATGGGAATAATGGGGTTCATGTGTATGAATGGGGTTGGAAGCTGGAATAGGAAGGCTGGAAATTGGAATGGGGTGATCACCTTAGGAATGGGGCTGGAAACTGGAAAAGGGGGATGACCTGCAGGAATGGGGGCTGGAAACGGGAATAACGGGGTTCACCTGTAAGAATGGGGGCTGGAAATGGGAATAATGGGGTTCATCTGCAGGAATGGGGGCCGGAAACTGGAAAAGGGGTTCACATGTAGAATGGGAGTTGGAAATGGGAATTATGGGGTTCCTGTGTAGGAATGGGGCTGGAAATGGGAATAATGGGGTTCAAGTGTAGGAAATGGGCCTGGAAGCTGTGAAGGAGGATCAGCAGTAGAAAAGGGAGTTGGAAACGGAATAATGGGGTTCACCTGTAGGAATGGGGCTGAAGCTGGAAAAGGGGGGATCAGCTGTAGGAAAGGGGGCTGGAAATGGGAACAATGGGGTTCAGGTGTAGGACTGGGGGCTGGAAATTGGAAAGGGGGTTCACCTGTAGGAATGGGGCTGGAAATGGTAATAATGGGGCTGGAACCTGGAATGGGATTGTCACTTACAGGAATGGCTTTGGAAGTAGGAAATGGGGCTGGAAGCTGGAATGGGATTGTCACCTGCAGGATTTGGGGCTGGAAGCTGGAATAAGGGGGATCACCAGCAGGATTGGGATTGGAAGCAGTAATGGAGTTGGAATCAGGAATGGGATTGGAATTGGGAATGAGGATGGATTGGGAATGGGGCTGGAGTCGAGAATGGGGCTGGAATCAGCCCATCCCATAGGAATGGGATTGGAACTAGGAATGGGGCTGGAATTGGGATCTCACCTGCAGGAAGGGATTGGAATTGGGATGGGGCTGAATTTGAAACGGGGCTGGAATCAGGAATGTGGTTGGAGTTTTGGGAATGGGGCTGGGATTGGGAACAGGGCTGGGATCAGGAATGGGGATTAAATTGGGAATGGACTGGAATTGGGAATCTCACCTGCAGCAAGGGGTGTTGGGATCGGGAATGGGGCTGGGATTGAGAAACGGGGCTGGAATTGGGAATCTCACCTGCAGGAAGGGGTGCTGGGATCGGGAATGGGGCTGGGATTGAGAACGGGGGCTGGCATCGGGAATGGGGTTGGAATCTGGAATGGCACTGGGGTTGGGAATCTTACCTGCAGGAAGGGGTGTTGGGGTCGGGAACGGGGCTGGGATCAGGAATGGGGCTGGGATCTGGAATCTCACCTGCAGGAAGGGATTGGAATCGGGAACAGGGCTGGAATCGGGAATGGGGTTGGGAATTGGGGGGGCTAATGGGGGGCTGGAATTGGAATGGGGATGGAATTGAGAATCTCACCTGCGGGAATGGGGCTGGGGTCGGGAATCTCACCTGCAGGAATGGGCTGGAACTGGGAATCTCACCTGCAGGAAGGGGTGTTGGGATCGGGAATGGGACTGGAATCGGGAATCTCACCTGCAGGAAGGGGTGCTGGAATTTGTGCTCCTCTTTCCCATCGCAGCCGGAGCGCTGAAGTTGTCAGCCCACCTGGGAGGGATCGGGATCGGGATCATCCCGAAATCCCGGCACTCAGGGCCGTGCCCTGGGACAGCAGCGCCCTCAGGTGACACCGCCGGGCCGGGATGTCCCCAGGAAGGTGACACCGCCGGGCCTGTCCCGGCCTGAGCAGCCCTGGCTGGGATCCCGGGATTGAGCGACAGCCGGGAACGGGACACCAGGAACGGGACACCCCCATGTCCCAAAAATCCGGATCCTGAGTGACAGCCGGGAACGGGACACTGGGAACAGGACACCGGGAACGGGACACCGGGAACGGGACACTCCATGTCCCAAAACTCCGGACCTGGGACTGAGGAACACAGGAATGGGACACCCCATGTCCCAAAACTCCGGATCCTGGGGAACGCCAGATCCATAAAATCGCTGGACGCCCCAGCCCCAATTTGGGGTAAATCCCCCTTTTTTTGGGTGCTCCAACCGCCCTCTGGCCAAAGCAGGACCCTTTGGATGCGGATTTCCCATTCCACAGACCCAAATGTCCCCCGGGCGCCCCCAAATTCAGCAGGGAACGCCCCCGACCCCCCAGGGACCCCTCCCATCGCGGTTTTCCGCCAATCCGGGAGATTCGGGGCTGACTCATTCCCGGGGGTGTCGCAAGAGGCTTTTTTGGGACCTCACGTGTCCCCTCCGCCTCAGTTTCCCTTTCCGGGGCTGGCATCGGCCGGGATCGGCCGGAATCCGCTGGGATCGGCCGGGATCGGGCGGGATCGGCTGGGATCGGCCGGGATCCGCTGGGATCGGCCGGAATCCGCCGGGATCGGCCGGGATGAGCCGGCCCGGCAGGTCCGCCCTGCCCGGGCACATTTTGGGATGGCCGCGGGTTGGCAATGACGTCACTGCGGCGCTTCCCGGGATTTTGGGGAGCGGGAGGAGCCGCACGGGCACCCGGGGGGGGCTCCACCCCAAAATGGGCCGGAGGAGTCCAAAATTCCTTCCCCGACCCCAAAAGGAGCCGGATCCCCCAAAATTATCCCCCCGTTGTGGGGTGGGGACACCGAGGTGACCCCAAAGCCCCGGGGGGGGTCCCCAAAGCCACTCACGGGGACACAGCCGCGACACCGAGGGGGGCGGGGCGGGCCCCGGGGGATTTTGGGGTATTTTGGGGGACTCACTTGGCCGCCAGGGTGTTGATGGAGCCGGTGAGGAGCATGAGCGCGGCCAGGCCCAGCTGGTACCGGGACCACGCCATGGCCCCCCCACGGCACGGCCGACCGCGGGGACACGCCCCCGGACACGCCCCCACAGAGGGGACACGCCCCTGGACGCGCCCACATCGAGGACACGCCCACCGAGCACGCCCCCGTCAGCCGAATGTTTGAGACGCCCCAGGCCACGCCCCTAAAGGAAAACCCCGCCCCTGACCGAGCTGGCCACGCCCATAGACCAGGAGAAGGAGCCCGGGAAACCACGCCCCCTGATTTGCATAACAACGCCCCCACTCCTGCGCTGCCGATCCCGGGAATTGTGTCCCTGGGTTCTACCCCGGAATTCTGTCCCTGGAATTCTGTTCTGGGAATTTTGTCCAGGAATTTCTGTCTTGGGGATTCTGTCTCCGGAATATTGTCCTGGGAGTTCTGTCCCTGGAATTTTGTCCCCGGAATTCTGTCCCTGGGATCCTGTCTCGGAATTCTTTCCTGGGAATTCTGTGTCCTGAATTCTGTCCTGGGGATTCTGTCCTGGGGATTCTGTTCTGGGAATTCTGACCCGGAATTCTGTCCCTGGAATTCTTTCCAGGGAATTTTATCTTGAGAATTCTGTCCCGAGGATTCTGTCTTGGGAATTCTCTCCAGGGAATTCTCATCCCCGGAATTCTGTCCCGGGGATTCTGTCCCAGGATTTCTGTCTTGGGCATTCTGTCCCGGGAATTTTGTCCCAGAGATTCTGTCCCGGGAATTCTGTCTCAGGAATTCTGTTCTGGAGATTCTGCCCTGGGATTCTGCCCTGGAATTCTGTCCCTGGGTTTTGTCCCGGAATTCTGTCCCGGGAATTCTGTCCCGGGGATTCTGTCCCGGAATTCTGTCCTGGGGATTCTGTCCCTGGGATTCTGTCCTCGGAATTCTGTCCCGGGATTCCTGTCCCGGTGGTTCCTGTCCCGGTGCCATCACCCCCTTGTCCCCGCCGTGTCCCCCCCGCGCGTGTCCCCGCGCACACGGCAGGTGGCGCTGTCAGACCGGGATAGGGATTGCCGGGATCTATTCCCGGGATTCGGGACCCTCAGGGCCCACCTGGGATAAACCCGGGATAAACCTGGGATAAACCTCTCTGTGATAAACCTGGCTGCGATAAACCCGGGATAAATCTGACTGCAATAAACCTGACTGCGATAAACCTGTCTGGGATAAACCCGGGATAAACCTGTCTGGGATAAACCTACTGGGGATGAACCTGGATGGGATAAACCCGGGATAAATCTGCCCTGGATAAACCTGCCCAGGATAAACTTGTCTGGGATAAACCTGGAATAAACCTGTCTGGGGTAAACCTGCCCAGGATAAACTCGGGATAAACCTGCCAGAGATAAACCTGTCTGGGATAAACCCAGGATAAACCTGCCCATGATAAACCAGGATAAACCTGCCCGGGATAAACCTGTCCAGGATAAACCTGCCTGGTATAAATCAGGGATAAACCTGTCTGGGATAAACCTGTCCAGGATAAACCTGGCTGCGATAAACCTGGGATAAATCTGACTGCGACAAACCTGACTGCGATAAACCCGGGATAAACCTGGCTGAGATAAACCCGAGGTAAACCCGGGATAAACCTGACTGCGATAAACCTGTTTGGGATAGGATAAACCCACCCGGGATAAACCTGTCTGGGATAAACCCAGGATAAACCTGTCTGGGATAAACTTGCAATAAACGTGTTTGGGATAAACCTGCCCAGGATAAACTTGCCCAGGATAAACTCGGGACAAACCTGTCTGGGATAAACCTGTTTGGGATAAACCTGTCTGGGATAAACCCGGGATAAATCTGCCTGGGATAAACCCTGGATAAACCTGCCCAGGATAAACTTGTCTGGGATAAACCCAGGATAAACATGTCTGGGATAAACCTGTTGGGGATAAACCCGGGATAAACCTGCCCAGGATAAACCTGACTGGGACGAGCCTACCTGGGATAAGCCTGTCTGGGATAAATTTGTCTGGAAAGACCTGACCAGGGTAAACCTGGGATAAATCTGCCCAGGATAAACCCAGGATAAACCTGCCCGGGATAATCCCAGGAAGCTTCTCTGACCCCCTGTTCCCTCCTGGGCCTCCCCCACAACCGGTGATGAATTGTTTTTCCGTACCTTTTCTACCCCTTTTTCGACCCCTTTTCCAGCCCTTTTCCTTCCCTTTCTCACCCCATTCCCACCCGTTTTTCCACCCCATTCCCACCCCATTCCCACTCTTTTCCCACCCCTTTTTCAATCCCTTTTCCCACCCCTTTTTCCATTCCTTTTCCACCCACTTTCTACCCCTTTTCCATCTCTTTTCCATCTATTTTCCACCCCTTTTTCATCCCTTTTTCATCTCTTTTTCCCATCCCTTTTCCGTCCATTTTCCAGACCTTTCGCACCCTTTCCCATGCCTGGGGATGGGAATTCCCAATCCAGGGATTTCACCAAGGCCAGGATCAGGATGGGATTAACCCTTCCCATGCCTGGGGGTTGGGCAGAGTGGGGAGGGGGAAATCGTTTGAGGGAGGGGCAGGGGGGACAGAAATGTGACCCTGGAGGGGACAAAAATGTGGCCCTGGGGGGGACAAGAGCATGGCCAGAGGTGGACATCAAAATGTGATCCTGGGGGACAGAAATGTGACCCTGGTGGACACCAAAATATGGTCCTGAAGGGGACAGAAACGTGACCCTGGAGGGGACAAGAGTGTGACCCTGGGAGACACCAAAATGTGGCCCTAAGGGACAGAAGTGTGACCCCGGGGGACAGAAATGTGGCCCTGGAGGTGACAAGAGTGTGGGCCTAAGAGGGGACACCAAAATGTGACTCTGGAGGGGACAGAAATGTCAGCCTGGGAGACAGAAATGTGACCTTGGGGGACACCAAAATGTGACCCTGGGGTGTACAGAAGTGTGACCCTGGTGGTGACAAGACTGTGGCCCTGGGGGGGGCACAAAAATGTGACCCTGGTGGTGACAAGAGTGTGGCCCTGGGGGGGGGGGGGGGGACAAAAATGTGACCCTGGTGGTGACAAGAGTGTGGCACTGGGGGGGGGGAGGGGACAAAAATGTGACCCTGGTGGTGACAAGAGTGTGGCACTGGGGGGGGGGGGGGGACAAAAATGTGACCCTGGTGGTGACAAGAGTGTGGCACTGGGGGGGGGGGGGAACAAAAATGTGACCCTGGTGGTGACAAGAGTGTGGCCCTGGGGGGGGGAGGGACAAAAATGTGACCCTGGTGGTGACAAGAGTGTGGCCCTGGGGGGGGGACAAAAATGTGACCCTGGTGGTGACAAGAGTGTGGCCCTAAGGGGGGACAGAAATGTGGCCCCTGTGAGGATAAAGGTGTGACCCTAATGGGGATGTGAGGGGGGGACAGGAAAGTGGCCTCAGGAGAGACCCAAATGTGTCACCGGGGAGGGACAGAATACTGGCCCTGGAGGGGACAGAAAGGTGGCCCTGAGGGACAGAAAGGTGGCCCCGAAGGACAGAAATATGACCCTGGAGGAAACAAGAGCATGGCCCTCAGGGGGGACACCAAAATGTGACCCTGAGGGACAGAAATGTGACCCTGGAGGTGACAAGAGCATGGCCCTCAGGGGGGACACCAAAATGTGACCCTGAGGGACAGAAATGTGACCCTGGAGGTGACAAGAGCATGGCCCTCAGGGGGGACACCAAAATGTGACCCTGAGGGACAGAAATGTGACCCTGGAGGTGACAAGAGCATGGCCCTAAGGGTGGACAGAATGTCAAATCAAAATGTGGCCCTGGGGGACAGAAAGGTGGCCCTATAGGGGACAGAAATGTGACCCTGGGGGACACCAAAATGTGACCTGGAGAGGGGACAAGAGCATGGCCCTAAGGGTGGAACACCAAAATGTGACCCTGGTGGGGACAGAAAGGTGACCCTGGGGGACACGAAAATGTGGCCCCAGAGGGGACAAAAATGTGACCCTGGGGGACAGAAATGTCATCCTGGAGGTGACGAGAGCATGGGCCTAAGAGGGGACATCAAAATGTGGCCTTGGGGGACAGAAGTGTGATCTTAGGAGGGACAGAAATGTGACCCCATTTTTCCTTTGTTTTTTCCCCAATAATCCCTGGATTTCCCCAATTTTTCCCCGATTTTTTCAGCGATTTTTTCCCCAATTTTTTCCCTGATTTTTCCCCAATTTTTTCCCTGTTTCCCACCGGGATAACAACCTTCCCTCCTGCTCCTGGGATGAGCCCTGGGACGAGCTTCCCCCACGGTCACCCAGCGCCAGGCTGGAATTTGGAGCCACTCCGACAGATTGTAAATATTTGGGATTCGGCTGACAGGGAAAATTCAAATGCTTTAAGAGGGAAAAAAAATGGCTCAGGATCCCTGAATCCCTCGGGAATCTGCCTGGAGGCTCCTCTGGATCCCTGGATCAGCCCCTGTGGATCCCTCAGGAATGTTTTGTGTCCCCAAATGCTGAAGGGAGCTGAGCTTGGAGTCCTGGGACTGGGACAATCCTGGAATTTCCATCAGGAATTGAGGCATGGAAAATGGGGAGGGGTTAAAGGGTGTAGGGATGGATGGATGGATGGATGGATGGATGGATGGATGGATGGATGATGGTTGGATGATGGATGGATGGATGGATGGATGATGGATGGATGGAGAGATGGATGGATGGATGGATGGATGGATGGATGGATGGATGGATGGAGAGATGGATGGATGGATGGATGGAGAGATGGATGGATGGATGATGGATGGATGGATGGATGGATGGATGGATGGATGATGGATGGATGGATGGATGGATGGATGGAGAGATGGATGGATGGATGATGGATGGATGGATGGATGGATGATGGATGGATGGAGAGATGGATGGATGGATGATGGATGGATGGATGGATGGATGGATGGATGGATGGATGGATGATGGATGGATGGATGGATGATGGTTGGATGATGGATGGATGGATGGATGGATGGATGGATGGATGGATGATGGATGGATGGATGGATGATGGATGGATGGAGAGATGGATGGATGATGGTTGGATGATGGATGGATGGATGGATGGATGATGGATGGATGGAGAGATGGATGGATGGATGATGGATGGATGGATGATGGATGGATGGATGGATGATGGTTGGATGATGGATGGATGGATGGATGGATGGATGGATGGATGGATGATGGATGGATGGATGGATGGATGGATGGTTGGATGATGGATGGATGGATGGATGGATGGATGGAGAGATGGATGGATGGATGGATGGATGGATGGATGGATGGAGAGATGGATGGATGGATGGATGGATGGATGGATGATGGATGGATGGAGAGATGGACGGATGGATCCTTCTCTCCCAGCCTTTCACCCTCACAGATGCCAAGGGAAGGAGCCGAGAACCTGGGGACCAGAATCCTCCATTCCCAGATCCCAAGGAAATTACTGGAAGCAAAGCTGAGATCCCAGAGGATCAGGATCCTCTTTTCCCAGTCCCTAGGGAATTACTGGAGGTAAAGTCGAGATCCCAGGGGATTGGGATCCTCCTCTCATGGATCCTGAGGGAAGGACTGGAGGCAAATCTGAGATCCCACAGGATCAGGGCCCTCCTTTCCTGATCCCAAGGGAGTTACAGGAGGTAAAGTCGAGATCCCACAGGATCAGGATCCTCCTTTCCCAATCCTCACGGGAGGCAAAGCCGAGATCCTGGGGGATCGGGATCCTCCTTTCCCAATCCTCATGGGAAGCAAAGCTGAGATCCCAGAGGATCAGAACTCTTCTCTCCCTGATCCCAAGGGAATTACTGGAAGCAAGGTTGAGATCCCAGAGAATTGGGATCCTCCCTTCCAAATCCTCGCAGGAAGCAAAGTTGAGATCCCAGAGGATCAGGACCCTCCTTTCCTGATCCCAAGGGAGGGACTGGATGCAAAGTCAAAATCCCAAGGGATCGGGATCCTCCTTTCCCACTCCCAAGGGAATTACTGGAGGCAAAGCTGAGATCCCAGAGGATCGGGATCTTCCTTTCCCAGATCCTGAGGGATTTACGGGAGGCACAGCCAGGATCCCAGGGGATCAGGATGCTCCTTTCCCAATCCTCATGGGAAACAAAGCCAAGATCCCAGAGGATCGGGATCCTCCTTCCCCAGATCCTGAGGGAGTTACTGGAAGCAAAGCCAAGATTTCAGAGGATCTGGGCCATCCTTTTCCAATCCCAAGGGAATTACTGGAAGCAAAGCCGAGATCCCAGGGGATCGGGATCCTCCTTTCCCAATCCTCACGGATAGCAAAGCTGAGATCCCAGGGGATCGGGATCCTCCTTCCCCAGATCCTGAGGGAATTACTGGAGGGAAAGTCAAATCTCAGAGGATCAGGACCCTCCTTTCTCAATCCCAAGGGAATTACTGGAAGCAAAGCCGAGATCCCAGGGGATCGGGATCCTCCTTTCCCAGATCCTGAGGGAATTACTGGAAGCAAAGCCGAGATCTCAGAGGATGTGGGCCCTCCTTTCCCAATCCCAAGGGAATTACTGGAAGCGAAGCCAGGATCCCAGGGGATCGGGATCCTCCTTTCCCAATCCTCACGGATAGCAAAGCTGAGATCTCAGAGGATGTGGGCCCTCCTTTCCCAGTCCCAAGGGAATTACTGGAAGCAAAGGTGAGATCCCAGGGGATTGGGATCCTCCTTTCCCAGCCCCCTCCCTCTCCATACCCTTTGGGAAGATCCCAGACACTCCCAGGTTTCCAACAATCCTTTATTTCTCTCTCCAAGGAATGGAACCCCGCGGGACACATTGGCTTTGGCATGAGAACCAGGGAGCCCTTCCCGGCAGGAATCGGGCACCCCTGGGTGAGGAAGATGCAGAAATTCCTCCCTGGAATCGTCAGGAAGTGTCCCCCGAGCCTCCTCTCCGACGGATCTTTCTGGAATTCCACGGACAGCGCCGTTGGTCATAAATATCCTCAGGAATCTGACAAATGTACAGCTCGAGGATCAGAAATCCATGGATTTTTTTTTCCCTCTCTGGAAAGGTGACGGAACACCCCCAAAGTCCCCCCCTGCCACCTCCAGCGCTCCAGAAGGGTCCCCCCCGTGTCCCCTCTGTGTTCCCCCCGTGTCCCCTGGAGGGGCTTTGGGTGCTGGGAGGGGAAAATTCCATCCTGGAAGGGCGGGAATGGGAAAGGAGGGAAGTTCTGCTTCCCTGTTGGGGTGGTGGTGACAGAGGTGACCTCCGGGGTATCCCGGGGAATTCCGGGAGTGTCCCAGGAGTGAGGGCGGTGGTGGGAAGGGGTGCGGAGGGAAGGATGGAGGAGTGTTGTAACATCCCAGATTTCTCTCTGAGGGAAAAGATTCCATCCCCGGAGTCCTGGTGAGGATGGGAATGGGGATCCCGGGGGATAATTGCCCCCAAAGTTCCTCCCCGAGGGAACAGTTCCATTCCCAGAGTCCCGGTGAGGATGGAGATGGGGATCCAAGGGGAAAATATCCCAAAAAAACCTCCCTGAGGGGAATAATTCCACCCCTGGAGCCTTGGGGAGGATGGAGATGGAGATCCCAAGGGAAAAGATCCCAAATTTCCCCCAAAATACCTTCCCAGGAGGAATAATTCCACCCCTGAAGCCTTGGGGAGGATGGAGATGGAGATCCCATGGGAAAATATCCCAGATTTCCCCAAATACTGTTCCAGGAGGAACAGCTCTACCCCCAGAGCTTTGGAGAGGATGAAAATGGGGATCCCACGGGAAAATATCCCAGATTGTCCCCAAAAAAAACACTCTGAGGGAAATAATTCCATCCCTGGAGCCTTGGAGAGGATGGAGATGGGGATCACACGGGAAAATACCCCAAACTGTCTCCAAAATACAATTCCAGGAGGAAAAATTCCATCCCCGGAGCCTTCAGGAGGACAGAAATGGGGATCTCAAGGGAAAATACCCTGATTATCCCCGAAAAAACTATTCTGAGGGAAATAATTCCACCCCTGGAGCTCTGGGGAGGATGGAGATGGGGGATCTCATGGGAAAATATCCCAGATTTCCCTAAATACTGTTCCAGGAGGAACAGCTCTACCCCCAGAGCTTTGGAGAGGATGAAAATGGGGATCCCAAGGGAAAAGATCCCAAATTTCCCCCAAAATACCTTCCCAGCAGGAACAATTCCATCCTGGAGCCTTGGAGAGGATGGAAATGGGGATCCCACGGGAAAATATCCCAGATTGTCCCCAAAAAAAACACTCTGAGGGAAATAATTCCATCCCTGGAGCCTTCGGGGAGGATGGAGATGGGGATCACATGGGAAAACATCCTGAATTTTCCCCAAAATACCTTCCCAGGAGGAACAATTCCATCCGTGGAGAGGATCTCAAGGGAAAATACTCCGATTATCCCCGAAAAAATAATTCTGCGGGAAATAATTCCACCCCTGGAGCCCTGGGGAGGATGGAGATGGGGGAATCTCATGGGAAAATATCCCAGATTGCCCCCAAAATACCTTCCCAGCAGGAACAATTCCATCCTGGAGCCTTGGAGAGGATGGAAATGGGGATCCCATGGGAAAATATCCCAGATATTCCCCAAACACCTTCCTGAGGGGAACAACCCCATCCCCAGACCCTCGGTGTGGATGGACACGGAAATCCCGTGGGATCAGCCAGCCTCCCATGGATGATTCCCGCTAAATCCCGAGAACTCCCAGCTCTGCCCCGCCACCAATTTGGGTTAAGACAGCCCCAAATCCCAGGGTTTGGAGCAGCCTACGTGACTCCCGGCTGCTTTTGCGGGCGGCTGATGTGGAAAAGCTCTGGCTAAGCCCCTCTTAGCCTGATTTCCGCAGCCGTCGGGTCCCTCTGCGCTTCCCGGGGAATTCCCGAGGATCCAGAGCTGCCCACGGTGGGAGGTGCCCCTCAATTCCGAGGCTCTCCCGCTCTCCCAAGTTTCACATTTTCAAGGAGTGGTTTTTGTGTGTGTGTGTGTGTGTGTGAAATTAAAATCCAAGAGGTTTTAAATTAAAATCCATTCCGGAGCCAACGGGCACGGCCCCGCTCCGGCGTCATTCCCGTGTCCGGAGCAGCTTCCTCCCGCTCCAGGAGGGATCCGGGATGGGAGGGCATGATGGGGGCTACACGGAGCTGCGTCTCTTGGCGAATCCCGGGAACGCCGCCAGGCTCTGGAGCCCGGTGGACACGGAGCTGATGGCGGAGCGCCGGGAGCGGCAGAAGCACCGGTGCTCCGGAGTCTCGGGGCAGCGCGCGGGCGACGAGTGGCTGCGCTCCACGCCCGTGTCCGAGCTGGACAAATCCCTGGGAATGATCATGGGGATGGAATACTGCAGCTTCTCGCGGCTCTTGTACCACAGGCACGAGCACACCGACTGGAAGTGCAGCACCTCGGCGTAGACGTTCCTGAAGCCGCTCTCGGCCGGGGCCACCGCGGCGCCCTCGGGGACGGCGGCCACGGCTCCGGAGCGAGCGCCCCGGCCGAGCAGCGCCCGCTGCTCGGCGTCGCGGCGCTCGTCCTCGGCGTTCATGGTCATGAAGCGCAGCACCACCAGGTTGAGGAAGGCGCCGATGACCGTCAGCCCCGTGAGGATGTAGACGAAGCTGAAGGCCACGTACTGCGGCTGCGTCTGCAGCGCGTGGTCCTTCTGCAGCGCCACGTAGTCGCCGAAGCCGATGGTGGTCAGCGTGATGAAGCAGTAGTAGTAGGCCTGGAAGAAGCTCCAGTTCTCGTAGTGCGAGAAGGCGGCGGCGCCGATGCAGAGCGTGCTGACGCACGAGAAGAAGCCGATGGTCACCATGTTGGCCATGGACACCTCCGGCCGCCGCATGCCCAGGCGCTTCTTGAGGCGGCGCAGCAGCGAGCGCACCAGGGTGTTGATGCGCTCGCCCAGGCTCTGGAACATCACCAGGGTCAGCGGGATGCCCAGCAGCGCGTAGAGCATGCAGAAAACCTTCCCGCCGTCCGTGCTGGGCGCTGCGTGCCCGTAGCCTGTGGGGAGAGGGAGAGAGGGGTTGGATCCGTGATCCCAGAGGGAATGGGGAGCGGGGAATGTCGGTGGGAAAAGCAGGAGGGGTGTGGGATCCCAAAGTGAGGGAAGGGAGGGGAGCTTAGAGATCATCCCATTCCAAGCCTGACACCTCCCATGATACCTGGGTGATCCAAATCCACTCTTGGATGCTCCCAGGGATCCAGGGATTCTCTGGGAATTCCAGCCCAGCCAGGAATCCCTTCCCAAGATCCCACAATCCCAAGCTCCCCTTTCCCACTGGAAGCCATTCCCTGGCTCCTGCCCCTCCAGCCCTTGCCCAAATCCCAGCTCTCCTTTCCCTCTGGAAAAGGCTCCAAGGATTCCCTGGACCCTTCCCTGACCCAGCTGCACATTCCCAGCTCTCCCAGCCTGCCATTGGATCCATCCCCATCCCGACTCCTCTCCTAGAAAGAGTTTTAGGAATGAAAGGCTTCACTTGGACTCTCAGGACTCCAGGAACGGTCTCTCTCCCCTTTACCTCCCTTTTCCATAAAAATCCCTGTGAACGGATTCTGAGTGTCCTTTTTCATGGAATCATGGGGTGGTTTGGGTGGGGAGGGACCTCAAATCCCATCCTCTTCCAACCCCGACTCCTTCCACCATCCCAGGATGCTCCAAACTCCATCCGACATTTCCTTGGACATTTCCAGGTATCCAGGGGCAGCCACAGCTTCTCTGGGAACGCTGTGCCAGTGACAATGTTTGGGTGAACCCTTGGGTGGGGGCACATTCCCCATGCCTGGGTTCGGGAAAATTCCCAAATTTCCCATCCCAGACTCTCCGGAGATGGGGAAATCAGGGATTTTGGTGGTCACCAGGGCTGAGCGCTCTGTCTGTCCCCTGTCACCCCCCGTCCCCTGTCCTGGTGCCCCAGTTCCCGCCATCCGGGGGCTGCATCCGCATCCAGCCCGGGAACAGCTGTGCTCCCGTAATCCCACACCGCTGCTGATGGGATTTATCCCACTCTGTGCCCGTGGATCGGCTCTCCTGAATGGACCCTGGGATGCCACGGGCAGGGCCAGCGCAGGCCTTGGATGGGGGTGGCAGGAACCAGCTGCTCCCTTTTCCTGCCCCTTTTCCTGTCCCCGTCCCTCTCCTCCTTTTCCTTTTCCTGTCCCTGTCTATTTCCTCCTTTTCCTGTCCCTTTCTTCCTTTTCCTGTCCATTTTCCTGCCCATGTCCCTTTCCTCTTTTTCTTTTCCCTTTCCTCCTTTTCCCTTTCCTCCTTTTCCTTTCTCTTTTCCGTCCCTTTCCCTCTCCTATTCCTTCTCCATCTCTTTTTTTCTTTCCCAGTCTCTTTCTCATTTCTTATTTTTATCTTTTCCATCATTTCCTCACTTTCTTCCTTTTCCTCCTTTTCACTTCCTTTTCCTTTCCCTCCTTTCCCTTTATCTTTCCTTACCATTTTTCTTTCCCTTCCTCTTCTTCCTTTTTTCCTTTTCTTCATTTTTTCTTTTTCCTTTTCCTTTTCCTTTTCCTTTTCCTTTTCCTTTTCCTTTTCCGTTTCCTTTTCCTTTTCCGTTTCCATCGCTTTTCCATTCCTTCTCCTTCTTAGTTTCTCTTTCTCATTTCCTTATTTTAAAAATTTATCCTCCTTTCCTTCTTTTTCTAACCTTCCCTCACCTTTCCTTTCCTACTTTCCCTTCCTCTCTTTTTTCCCATTTTTCTCCTTTTCCTTCTTTCCCTCCTTTTTCTTCCTTTCCCTTTTCCTCTAATTTTTTCACTTTTCCTCCTTTTCCTTTTCCTTTTCATTTTCCTTTTCCTTTTCCTTTTCCCAGGAAAACCAGGAGCAGGCAGGAACAGGAAGGAGACTCCAAACCTCTTCCTTTGGACTCAGAGCATTCCTGGGCCCCTTTTCCAAGCCCTGTCCCAGCCATGGTCTCAGAACACCCCCCAAACCTTTGGGAATGCTGAGGGGAGCTGATCCTGGGTCCCAAATCCCAATCCTGTGTCCCCCTCACTGCCACCTTCGAGAGGACACAGATGAAGCTGGAGCAAGGGGAAAATCGGGATCGTGGGATCACCTCCAAGGAGGAGCTGCTGTGGGATCCTCTTTGTGTGGGGATGGAATCCGTGGGAGGGAATCGATGGGATGGAATCGATGGAGAGGAAATCCATGGGAAGGAATCCATGGAGAGGGAATCCATGAGAGGCAATCCATGGGAAGGAATCCATGGAGAGGGAATCCATGGAGAGGGAAATGATGGGAGGGAATCCATGGAGAGGGAATCCATGAGAGGCAATCCATGGGAAGGAATCCATGGAGAGGGAATCCATGGGATGGAGTCCATGGGGATGGAATCCATGGGAAGGAATCAATGGGAGGGAATACGTGGGAGGGAAGCCATGGGAGGGAAGCCATGGGAGGGAATTGATGGAAAGGGAATCATGGGAGAGAGAGCAACACCTGAGAGTGGCACCTGAGATCATGTCTGGAGAGCAACACCTGAGCATCACCAAAAATCATCACTGGGGCATCACAGAGCAGCACCTGGGAAACACCTGTGATACACCTGGGAAACACCTGGCAAACACCTGAGAGCATCACCAGAAAACATCACCAGAGCATGACCTGAGCAGCACCTGGGGTCATCATGGCAGAGCACCACCAGAAAACATCACCTGAGTGCCATCTGACCATCACTGGAACATCACCTGAGAGAGAGCATCACTGGAGAGCATCTCTGAGATGTCACCTGAGCATCACCAGAAAACATCACCTGAGCAGCACCACTGGAACATTCCCTGAGCACCACCTGAGAGCATCACTGCAGCCTCGCTCCAGCCTCACCTGAGAAACACCTGGGGAGAATCACCTGGGAGCATCATCTGGACATCGCTGCAGAGCAATGCCTGAAATCATCCCCTGAGCATCCCCAGAGCATTCCCTGAGCATCACTGGAGCATCACATGAACATCACCAGAGCATCACCAGAGCATCACCTGAGCATCACCAGAGAGTAACACCCGAGAGAATCACCTGGCAGCATCACCTGAGAAGCACCTGAGAAACACCTGAACATCACTGCAGCATCACAGAAGCATCACCTGAAGCATGACCTGAACATTACCTGAGAGCATCCCCGATCCAACCCTGCTTTTTGTGCCCCCACCCTGTTCCTTGTGTCCCTTCCCTATTCCTCATGTCACTCCCTGTTCCTCCTGTCCCTTCCCTGTGTCCCTCTACCCCTGTTCCTCATGTCCTTCCCATTCCTCTTGTCCCTCCCCTGTTCCTCCTGTCATTCCCTGCTCCTTGTGACCCCTCCCACTTCATTGTGTCCTTTCCCTTGTCCCATCCAGTTCCCTGTGTCCCTCTCTCCCTGTTCCTCATGTCCCTCTCTCCCTGTTCCTCATGTCCCTTTCCTGTGTCCCTCTTCTCCCAGCTCTGTGTCCCTCCCTCCCAGTTCCTCACGTCCCTCTCTCCCAGCTCCTCGTGTCCCTCTCTTCCAACTCCTTGTGTCTCTCTCTCCCTGCTCCTCATGTCCCTCTCTCCCTGTTCCCCGTGTCCCTCTCTCCCTGTTCCTTGTGTCCCTTCCTTATTCTTCATGTCCCTCTCTCCCTGTTCCTCATGTCCCTTCCCTGTGTCCCTCTCTCCCATCTCCTCATGTCCCTCTCTCCCTGTTCCTCGCGTCCCTCTCTCCCAGCTCCTCATGTCCCTTCCCTGTGTCCCTCTCTCCCTGTTCTTCATGTCCCTCTCTCCCAACTCCTCAAGTCCCTCTCTCCCTGTTCCTTGTGTCCCTCTCTCCCTCCTCCTTGTGTCCCTCTCTCCCTGTTCTTCATGTCCCTTCCTTGTTCCTCATGTCCCTCCCTCCCAGCTCCTTGTGTCCCATCCCTGTGTCCCTCTCTCCTGCTCTTCATGTCCCTCTCCCTGTTCTTCCTGTCCCTCTCTCCCGCTCTTCATGTCCCTCTCTCCCTGTTCTTCCTGTCCCTCTCTCCCTGTTCCTCATGTCATGTTCCCCTCTCCATGTTCCTCATGTCCCTCTCTCTCTCCTCCTCGTGTCCCTCTCTCCCAGCTCCTTGTGTCCCGCTCCCTGCTCCTTGTGTCCCTCTCTCCCTGCTCCTCATGTCCCTCTCCCTGTTCTTCATGTCCCTCTCTCCCTGCTCCTCATGTCCCTTCCCTGTGTCCCTCTCTCCCTCCTCCTCGTGTCCCTCTCTCCCTGTTCTTCTTGTCCCTTCCTTGTTCCTCATGTCCCTCTCTCCCTGTTCTTCCTATCCCTCTCTCCCGCTCTTCACGTCCCTCTCTCCCTGTTCCTCATGTTCCCCTCTCCCTGTTCTTGGTGTCCCTCTCTCCCAGCTCCTCCTGTCTCTCTCTCCCAGCTCCTCGTGTCCCTCTCTCCCAGTTCCTCACGTCCCTCTCTCCCAGCTCCTCGTGTCCCTCTCTTCCAACTCCTTGTGTCTCTCTCTCCCATCTCCTCATGTCCCTCTCTCCCTGTTCCCCGTGTCCCTCTCTCCCTGTTCCTTGTGTCCTTTCCTTATTCTTCATATCCCTCTCTCCTTGTTCCTTATGTCCCTTCCTCGCGTCCCTCTCTCCCATCTCCTCACGTCCCTCTCTCCCTGTTCCTCATGTCCCTTCCCTGTGTCCCTCTCTCCCATCTCCTCATGTCCCTCTCTCCCAGCTCCTCATGTCCCTTCCCTGTGTCCCTCTCTCCCTGTTCTTCATGTCCCTCTCTCCCAACTCCTCAAGTCCCTCTCTCCCTGTTCCTTGTGTCCCTCTCTCCCTCCTCCTTGTGTCCCTCTCTCCCTGTTCTTCATGTCCCTTCCTTGTTCCTCATGTCCCTCTCTCCCAGCTCCTTGTGTCCCATCCCTGTGTCCCTCTCTCCTGCTCTTCATGTCCCTCTCCCTGTTCTTCCTGTCCCTCTCTCCCGCTCTTCATGTCCCTCTCTCCCTGTTCTTCCTGTCCCTCTCTCCCTGTTCCTCATGTCATGTTTCCCTCTCCATGTTCCTCATGTCCCTCTCTCTCT